ATGCGGCTCCCGCGGCTGCTGCGGCTGCTGCTCCTGGCCCTGCTGGGCGCGGGCCGCGTGGGCGCCGGCGGAGCGCAGACGCCCGCCAGCTCCAGCCCGGGTAAGGTGGGGCGCCCGGCTCCCGCAGCCCCGAGGCGACTTTTGCATTTTGTGCGGGCGACAGGTCGCGACCCGCCCGGGGTCCGGGCACCTCGCGGAGAGCTGGTGCACGCCGGCCGCGAGCTCGGGAGCAACCTGCGCGGACGCGGCGGAGTGGAAACTCTCGCTGCGAAGGAGGCCTTCCTGCCAGCCTCTTAATTTCAGCTGGGGAAACGGGAAGAGATAAGTAACATTATTGCCTCCCACTGGGAGCAGCCATGTTGGTGGCTTTAATTGAACGCACGCGCCGCTCCCCGGCTCCCTCGGGGGCGTCTGGGCTTCTGGACCCGAGCGGTGATTGATGATTGATGATTGATGGTTGATGGCTGATGGCTCCCCCCGTGCAGAAGGCTTATTTCGACTCCAAAGATCTAGGTGCTTTTCCAGTTGGCGATGTTCTGCAGAGCTGAAGAGGGCAGAGCCGAACTCGGAGGGGACTTCAGCTTGTGGGTCATGTGCTCGGTGGAAGGGTGTTAGTAACGGCTCCTCGGGACTTGTTAACGTGAGCTGGAGAAAGCCCGAGTTGTGCCAGGCTGGAAATCACGCGCTCTTCCGTGGTGTTAAGCATACTCTGCATTCTGTGTTGAGCTGGGGAGACGAGTTACAGTTCTGACACGGTATTTTCTCGATAATGACGTTATGTTTCCTCATGCTTATCCCAGAAAAGCTTTTCTGCAGACAGAAACAGAATCTTAGGATTTTTTACATAGGACTGAAGTCAACTTTGAGAAGGGCGGGCAATTATTTTTTATTTATTTATTTTTGGTATTTTAGGGAGGGGTCTACAGGGTGTTCAGGGTCTCACTACTAGATCGGACGCGTAATGATCCGCCTGTTTACAGCCTCCCAAGAGCTGGGATTATAGGTGCGCCCCCACCATGCCCAGTCTCAATTGCCATCTCAGCGCACCCCAGGGGTAAGGCTGGAACGGCAGGCCCGGGGGTTCGAACCCCGAAAGCTTGCAGGCGCTTTAATTCGCTGAGCTATTTGGCCGGCCTTTGGCTATTATTATTATTATTATTATTATTACCACCATCATCATCATCGCTTTTATAGAAAAACCTGATTTCTGAAAGGGCACTCTAATAGCCATCGTGTGCAGAATGTACCCAGGGCTTCTCGTGCAGTGTGGTTTAATCCTCACAAATCCATGAGGTAATGAACATTCTCTCACTTGGTGAAGGATAAAACTGAGGCTTGAAACACACATTATACAAATGACGCTAGGAAGTGCGTGGATGAGGTTTGAAGCCCAGTGGTCTACCTGCAAATCTCATGATTCCTTTTTGCTTCCACAAAGCTTTTAATGAGACTCCTTAGCATAGGGTGGCACTTTCTGTTTCATCCATCAATGAACCCTTGTCCCTCGAAATAGCCTTCTGAGGAAGGTGGAGAGATGAAGTGTATTTTAGTTTTTATTTTCATTTTTTAAATGTATTGGGTACAAGGTCTGCAGGGTCTCACTACACAGATTGTACTCCTAGTGATCCTCCTGTTTACAGCCTCCAAGTGCTGAAATTACAGGCCTGGGCCACCACACCTAGTCTCAATGGCCTAGTCTCAATGGCCGACTCAGCAGGCCCCTGGGGACTGGGCCTAGTGCAGTGAAGTGTATTTTAACCTGGGAGGAAGTTGAAGAGTTTGAGGGCTGGAACCCAGGCCATTTGATTTCTAATTTGGTGCTTTAAGTATTTAATATCTAGAAATTTTTTTACATGAAAGTTAAGAAATGAGTAATAACTTGAGACATTCTTTTTTAGGCAGTAGTTCTTGCTTTTCTTTGATTTCATTTATATTTCCTCAGCAGTTAATATATATATCTATATCTTTATATAGATATAGATATAGACATAGATATAGATATTTGCCTGTGTTAGTGTTTTTCTGTGCAGGAGGCAGATGATGTGTGGGGACTTCGCTGCAAAGTGATAATAAAAGTGGATATTCTCTACATCTTTCAGATAGAAGTCAGTATAGAAATTAAGGAACAGTTCAAGGCTTGCGTTAGCCTCTTGTGAAATGCTCATGTAGTCGTTGAGGATTCTGATAACGATACAAACTGAAGAACGTGTGTGGTGACTGGTATAATTTAGACGGATTTATTCACCTTGAACAGAGTAAATTGACTCGTACACCTTAGTGACTCAAATGCTAAATGAACCTTGAAAGGTGACAAATCAAGTTCTAGAATGTCAGAAGAAAGTGCTGCCTCTCATCAGCTGGGCTGGGTGATGATCCGTACTTTAAAATAGTTGTTCTTTTTCTTTTTTTTTTTTTTTTAATTTTATTTTATTTTGTGTGTGTGTGTGTGTGTGTGTGTGTGGCCAGCTCAGCCCACCAGGGGGCGGGGCTGGCTGGCATGTGGTGCTGGGGGATTGAACTGTTGTCTCTGTGCTTTGCTAAGCTTGTTCTAAGTAGATGCTTTAGACCACTGAGCCATCTCACCAGCCCCAGTTGTTCTTTTTCTTAGCATTAAAATAGCTGTTCTTTTTCTTGGCGTCCCAATTTTCTGTTCCCCTTATCATCTTTCGTTATTGCTTTAGGTGCATATCCAGTAGCTCATGTGGAATCACCCAGCTTTGCAGTGGAATGTCACTTGAGCCTTCAGCGTTGGTGCCTTAAGGCAGCTGGCCACTTGTGCCGTTAGGTGCAAATGATTGCTTATGTGAGAGCCAGGGCATAATGCATGCTCTAATCCCATGCGTGGGATTATAGGAGGCTGAGGCAGGACCACAAGTTCTAGCTATTTTGAGACTATTTTAAACAAAAAGGACTGTAGCTGTAACTCAGAACTTCTTGGATTCATTCCCCAGTCATACATGGGGAAAGAGTGAGAAGTTGTGTATTCATTGTTGTGTTTCCTTTTAAGTTTTACGGTTAATGAAAACCCATAAGAAGATAGAAATGAGAAATTGGGAGGGGCTGCTGGAGTACCAGCGAGCTCAAGTAGCTGAACCATTTTTATTTTTAATCTTCCATTTGGAGAGAATTACGAAGGCTGAACTTTAACAGATCTCTCCTAGAACCTGGTTATAGTGAGGAAGCACACACAGCAGAGAGATATGTGAGATACATTTTTGTAAAAATGGAAGAGTTGGAAAATTTCAGGGCTGCCAGCTAGGGATCTAATTGGGAAAGGAGGGAAAAGATTAGAATTGGATGTATTTTTTTAGAATGGAGTTATTAGAAGTAAAGAGGGACTCTGAATAAGAGGATGTGTATGATAAACTGGAAAAAGTCCTCTTCTCTTCTGATGGCAAAAATAAGTTTTGGCAGAAAAGCAGAGCCACCCTTCTTCGAGGGGAGGTGCAGTGTGTGCGCGCCGTGTTGGCGTCTCCCTCTACTCTGCTGTCTTCCCACTCCATAAGTCATAAGATCTAATTTATGCCTCATAAAATGCTTCCCATGAATCCTTTTCCAGATAGCTTAGAGGTGGAGTTAAGTTCTCATTAACTTCTGCGGAATGTGTCTTGAATGCGTGTCTTCTTTTGCCAAGTCCGTTTTTATGGGTAGAAGTTAAATACAGTTTCCATCTGACTGCGCCTTAAAAGTCATTTGATTTTCATTGTCTTTCCTTGTTGCCCTGTGGAAGTCTCGTTTGCAACTTGACGCTTGAGATGTACGGGACATTTCTGTGAGTGCCTTGGTTGTGTTCGTCAGCTTCGTCCCAATAGTTTGTAGGGCTGATCTGAAAGTAACTGGCTTTTTTATTTTTTATTTTTCCTTTTTAACCTAAGGAGATGAGCCTCTGAAGCAATGGTATATTGGTGGAAGTGAATGATACTTTATCGTGTAGCGCTGGACAGCTTAAAAACAATTTTCCCATTTGTTTGAAAAATTTGTTTCAGCAGCCACCTGGTTGACACAGCTCAGTTACCTAATTGTTCTGTAAGAAAACCGAAGCCTAGACAAAATAAGTGGCTTGCCTGTGGCTGCACAATTCGCTCATCGTTCAACAAAGGTTTGTTGTGTGCCACCTAGGCCCTGGTACCGTGCCAGGCACCGGAGTGTTAAATGTGACAAAGCCCTGCACAGCCTGGAGTAAAACCACAAACCGTTTGGTCAAAATGCAACCTTCTATAAAATTGTGAAATAGCTGTTGGGCTGCCAACGTGACAGTGCCAGAAGGTGGTCCCATAGAGGTTACGTTGAAGATAAGAAAAGGGGGAAATATAGTTAGCCTTGCCTTCTTCTTCATTATGGTTGGAATTACCCATGCTGGCTGAACATGGAGAGGGCCTACCAAATAGCTCAGTGGACAAAAGTGCCTGCAGGCAGGCGCAGGGGCCAGGGGTTTGATCCCCCAGCCTGCCATGCTGGCTCCACCACCAGGGTGCACTGAGACCTAATTGAGACTGGGCGTGGTAGCGGGTGCCTGTAATCCCAGCTCTTAGGAGGCTGTAAAAGGCGGCTCACTACAAGTCCCTCTAGTAGTGAGACCCTGAACACCCTGTAGATCCTTCCCTAAAATACAAAAAAAAAAAAAAAAGTAAAAGATGTGCACAGCTACTTGAAGGGATCCATTGATCTCCATTGGATCGGTTCTACCCTGGGAAAAATGGCAGGAATGAGAAAGATAGACAAGAACACAAAAGCTGTACCAGGTGGTGGCCAATGTGCCTGATGGGCAAGATGACCCCAGCAGCACAAGGAAACCTACATTTATTTATACTGTTGCAAAGTTAGTAACAAGTGACACAAGGTTGCCTAGTGACTAGTATTGCACCTTAACCAGTCAGGATGCTTATTAACCAGTCAGGATGCTTATCGCAGGCTGAGGCAGCTTGTTTGCTGTAGGCACTGGGGTCTAGTCCCACCTGCACACCTTTGATTTTCCAGCTTCCGTGGCTCCCAACACAGTTCTTTGTGATAACTCAGGTGGAAATCCAAGTGTTCATTAGAAATAGAATGGAGAAAAATGCTGAGGCGTATTAGCTTATTTAGTATTATAGTTTCCTTAATACCAGAGTGAATTTTACAAATGAGATGTTGATTTTTTAAAAAGCCAGGCCAAATCAAGCTCATCCTGCAAATCACACTTATTTAAATTCCAGAAATGAAATTTCTGTGTTTGTAGCTAGGATCATGGTTCTGTGTAGGGAGGGAGGGGCAGTGGTTGGAAGGGCGAAGAGGGTCTTTATGTGGAGTTTCTTGATTTAGGTGATGATTTTAGGAGTGTTGTCCTCAGGCCTTAATTTGGTGTACTTCTCTGGGTGTTATTTTAATTGAATTTAAAAAATCTTTTATTCATTTATTTGGTACAGGGTCTTGCTATGCATCTCCAACTCATAGTGATCCTCCTGTCTCAGCCTCCCCAGCACTGGGATTACAGGCATGCCCCACCTCTTCCAGTTTCGGTGGCCGGCGCAGCATGTGGTGCCGGGGATCGAACTCAGGCCCTTGCACTTGCCAGGCGGGCGTTTAGTCCACTGAGCTATCTCCCCAGGCTGAATGCTTGTTTTTAAATGAATACCCTTCCCTCCGGGATTTTGATATAACTGGTCTGGAGAGGGTTTCTGGCAGAGGAATTTTTTAAAAACTCATCTGTAAATGGTTATAATATGCTGTCCCAGCTATATTGCAAATTTTTTTATGATAAAGACACCTTTTGATCACTATAGAAAGTGTGAAAAATAAAAACAATGTAAAGAAAAAAATTTTGGAATATGCCCTTAGAGAGGTAGCTACTCTTAACACCTCTGGCTTATTTCATCATATGACCAGGCCTTAAATAATACAGCCCGTGTCCTTCCCTTTCATTATCAGGCCTCTGCAGGTTCGTGCTTTAGGCCTCTCAGGGATAAGTGGTTCAGGAAGCAGCATCTTTCTGTGGCTTTTTGGAAGTCCTGGAAGTAATACATGAAAGTGCTATCTACTCCTAAAATGCTAGTTGTACTTACTTTTTTGTTGTTGTTGTTCTTTTTTAAAATATATTTTTTGCAGGGTCTCACTATGCAGCTTGGACTCGTAGTGATCCTACAGTCATGCGCCACATGCCCGGTTTTAGTTGTACTTCTTGAAGAAAATGTCTGAAGCAGAAACTGCAGCCTTGACTTGGGTGATGCTTTAGGAGTGCGGTCCTCTGGACTTAACTTTGTGTACTTCTCGGGGTGTTATTTTAATGACTTGAAAGAAAATCTTTTATTTATTTAGTTATTTGGTACAGGGTCTCTTTGACTTTCAGCCTATGAGTTTCTTTATGAGTTAAATGTGTTTCTTGTACACAACATATTGTTGGGTTTTGTTTCCTAATCTGAATTTCTTAGACTGACACAAGTCGTCTTAGGCAGTTTAACCATTGAATATCAAACACCGTGTCTTACGCTGTCCTAGCAAAAAGCTCACTTGGGTTGGTGCCTAGCAGAACTCTCTTATTAATTCTTTGTGCAGAGTAGAATGGCAGCCTTTATTTTCATGACTGGAGGATTAGTTGAATAGTTAGCTGCATACTCTCGGTAGAACACTAAATAGCTTTCGAATAACAAAGCTGCGATTCTTTTTTATTTCTTGTTCAGTGCTAGGGATCCCCAGGGCCTCACACAGGCAGGGCAAGGGTTCTACCACTGAGCTAGACCTGCAGCCCCTGAGTCATCAGTATTGTTATGGAAAGGTATCCAAGACCTATGACGTGGGTGATGCCAAACGTTTATGTCCTTCTCCTTGCATATATGTGAAAATAGGCATGTTGAGATCTGCCCCAGTCTCAAAAGACAGAGTTGGCCCTCCTACCCATGGCTTCCGTATTGGCAGATTCAACCAAATCAGAAACAATTAGGAAAACCTTTTTCTGTAATGCATATGTACAGGACTTCCCCCCCCCTTATCTTGAACAACACAGCGTAACAACTGTTTGTATAGCATTTCTATTGTATTAGGCATGGAAGCAATTCACGACGTATTTTAAAGTGTATGAGAGGATATAGGATATACCCTATGCAGGATATATAGGATAGGATAGATAGGATATTTATATAAATACTGCCCCATGTAATGTTGGGGACTTGGTTATGGAGGATTTGGGTAAATTTCGAGGTCCTGGACTGTTCTGTGGCTATTGAGGGTTGACTGGGTGGCCAGGCTGTCCACAGTGATGATTTCCACACATAGCACCAGTTAAAAGACATAAACTGGCACAGTGGATTAGGAAACAAAATCCAACAATAGAAAAAGCAAGAAACTAAGTGAGCCAAAGGCTCTCGATTTTAGAAGGATTGAGGTCCATTTAATTGCTGGGAAAATAGACTAGTGTTGCTTAGTCCAACAGATGGGAAAAGGTATGTTTAAGACTCAGAAGCCGGAAAATAGGTGACACTAAAATTAACGTGCAGTGTGGGAAATATTTTTAGTGACATTTGCTAAGATTCATTTAGTTTTGTGTATAGTTTGGTTTTCTAATTAAATAATCATGATGGGAAGAACTGGAAAATGTGAAAAAAAAAGTGGAGGAGTTTGGTTGTTGTTTGCCTAAAAAAAATATCCTACAAAGGTCCCTTATATTTTTCCAGGCTTCCTTACTGAGCTCTCTGTTTTATAGAGATGCTTTATCTCTATTCTCATTGGAGTCTGTCTGCATAAAATGTGAAATGTCTTTCTGGCTATATAAATAGGAGGCATCGCCAACTGCCACGGCTATGCTATTTCACATTTTGCTGTTGACTTATGAAAATTAAACTGTAATCACAGATTATCTTGTTTTTCTGTCACCAATTATAAAAACAAAGCCTAAGTTGTGAAGGTTTTATATCATTGTAGAGTTTGGGGGGGCTAGGTAGAGATGAATCATTTTTCTAGTCTGAATACCAATTATATGCATTTTGGGGGGTTCCTTTCACAGGTAGACCATTTTTTGTATTTTTTGTTGTGTTTTTAATTGTTCAAATGGAATATTTGAATTTAGAAAAAAACATTGAAAAGTGGCCTTCTTGGAAAATGGTAAATAAGAATGTGTTATTTATTATTTAGAGTGTTGTTTTTGTCTTGTTTACTTTTTTTAACCACCCACTGACTATAATTTCTAAACTAAGACATGATAGTTCCATTATGGGACACTGATGAATTATAACGATTTTCTTATCAACTCTTTTCCATTTATATTAAATGTAAAAATCTTTTTTCTCTTTTTCCCTCCATTTTGTATGCAATGCTGTGTTCTGCTATTTATACAGATATCCAAAGTAGAGAGTTGGAGGGGAGGTATGAATCCAGGACCACACAGAAGTAAAACCAGCTTCCTTTGGTGGAATATTTGAGAATTGGATCAGAAAAAAAAAAGGAACCAGCACGCAGCTAGGAAAGACAACACACAGAACCAGGGACAGTGAGCTAGGGTAGCACGGGGGCTTGAACCCAGGGCCCTAGCACTGAGCTACATCACCACCCCTTTTTAAAGTTTTGAGACAAGTTCTTGCTATATTGCCAGGCGGGGCTCCAACTTGTGATCCTCCTGCCTCAGCTTCCCAGAGTGCTGGGATTACAGGTATGTGCCACCATGCCTGGCTAAAAAAATCTCCCTTTTCCAAAATGCCTGTGGTTCACAATTGTGTGTTGAAGTACGTCGTGTGGGCTGTCCTCAGACATATTTGCCAATGCTGGTGGTACCTGCTTCCGTCAGGCAAAACAATGCTTATTTGAAAGATAAGAAAAATCGAGGCCTCAGGCCGTATGGTAAGTGGCCTGAAAAGCCAGACGCGGGCTCTACATGAGGGCACCGGTGTCTCTTCAGGCTGCCGACTTCAACACCACTAGCATTCTTCATTTCTAGCACACTCTCCAGGGTACCCCCAAGGGGGTGCTTCATCCTAAACCCTGGCACTCTGTTCTGAGGAGAATGGTTATTCTCCTATCCAGTGGAAAAAATTCTCTGTGCTCTGAGAACCCATCTTCAGCACTCTGTAGTGTTCCCCTCTTGTGAAACACATTTTCTCCATGCTAGCCTTCGGTGCTACCACTTTCTAGCTGCATGACCCTCAGGACCCCCTCTCCCGTGCTGAGGCTTGAACCCAGGGTCTCCAACTCGCTCTGCCACTGAGCAGTGTCCCCGGCCCCTGTTCTGCCTGTAGGCCGCCCCCTCAACAGGGACAGAGGCAATCACCATATTTACCTCAAGGAGTTTTTCTGAAGGTTAAATGAACATTCTGTTTATAAATGAGATTTACAAATTGACGTTCGAGACCCAGTCTTATAATGGAAACTTTCTCCCGTTGTAGGGTTTCTAGAATTTTCTGTCGGGAAATTTAGCTACTTCCAGCTCAACAAGGCTTTTCCACAGGAAGCCGTTTTGAGCCACATTTCAAGCAACACGAGTTTCCTCATATTCCAGATACACTCGCAGTATCAGAATACCACAGTGTCTTATTCGAGGGTAAGTATAAGGAATGACTGCAGCTGAATCAACCGAAAAAAATCATTTGATCTGTTTGAGTCTTGTATTTGGTGTACGCATTAGAATTCGATGTTTAGCTTGTATCTTACATGTTTTACCAAGACCCAAGATGGAATCTGGTCAGCTTAGTGGCCGTGAGTGGGCGCGGGCTGGACCACAGGCCTTGCTTGAGGTGGCTGCTGGCATTTAGAGTTGGAAAGGCCAAGCCCTGGCGGAGGGGCCCTGCCTTTATGATTCCCTCACGATTCCCCACTTTTTCACTGTCTTACTCCAGGCAGTCCTTACTGATTTTTTTACCTGAATATTTTTACATTGGAATGTGTTCCTATTGTTGTCCAACTATTTAGTACTGTAGTTTTACTAAGAAACCCTTGGGTTTAGCCTTTTTCTTTGGAGTCTCACGTGCAAATGAAACAGCTCAGCTTATCCCTGCTGGTATAGCAGCACAGTTAAAAACCCTGTTATAGGGGTCATCACTAACTCTTTAAACGTAGCCTCAGATTTGGAAAGCTTTTTCTTTTAAATTTTTATTTATTTATTTGGTGGAGGGTTTCGCTGCATAGCTAAGACTTGTAGTGATCCTCCTGTCTCAGCCTCCCCAGCACTGGAATTGCAGGTGTGCGCCACCACGCCCGGCTTCAGCACAGCCTACAGTACTGGGAGTTTGCTTGCGAGGCAGGTACTGAGATCACCAAACTATCTCCTCAGCCCTGAGAAGTTTTTTTAATTGCTTTGGATGACCTTAAGCTGCTAAGGAACTGCCGTGTGCAACAGGTTTCTGCAAATGTTTATATTTAGCCTATATGATCCTTAAGACTAATAAATGTGTTTTGCTTTTTTTTTTTTTTTT